GAGCCTGATGTGGGACTCGATCCCAGGACCCTGAGATCATGACCTGAGCCGAAGGCAGACACTTAACCATCTGAGCCACCCAGGAGTCCCTGGAAAAATAATGTTTTATGAGAATGATGAAAACTCTAAAAATGAAGTTTGGAATATTCTACATGTAATAAAATTAGTTAATCCTTATGATAGCCATATAAGGTGCTATCTTACATCTTATAAAATAGCACAAGACTTCAGCAAATTTCTGTAGTAGATAAATGTGTGTTTTAAATTCTATTTATTTATTTGACAGAGAGAGACAGCACAAGCAGGGGGAGTGGCAGAGGGAAAAGCAGACTCCCCGCCAAACAGGGAGCCCGATGCCAGACTCGATCCCAGCACCCTAGGATCATGACCTGAGTGAGCCGAAGGCAGACGCCCAACCAACTGAGCCACCCAGGCATCCTGATAAAATGTGTTCTGGGACTATTGTCCTCCTAGTTTTTATCTTTTCCATGTTTATGAGTTTCCTCCCAGACACCTGGTGTCCACTGTTCTTCTCCAACATGTCAAAGGACAATAAAGATTTACTTCTTTAGGGGATTTGCATTTTTGTAACTATCAATGGCATATACTCTGGAATTAGGAGCATTAGCAAGCAGGTGTTCAAAACATCTGTGAGCCTTGGGACCTCATGGTACCCAGAAATCAGACTTCTGTAGACTTCTGTAGGTCAGGGGAGCCCTGATCACAGCTGTTCTCCAATGCTGACAGATACATCAAAGCTGTTGCCAATTTGTTAACCAGAGGCAATGATACGAATGGGAGATGCAACTGTTCTTTCTAAGGGACTCATAAAGGTCTGATTAGTCTAATCTAAGTCATTGCCCAAGCAATTAAGGAGAATATTTTTGGAAAAGCGGACTTCAGAAGCCAAGCAGAGTAGAAGTTTCCACTCTGTACTTACTGCATCTAATCAGATCAACTCTCATTCTGCATAGAAGCTGTACTGCTCTCAAGCACTGCTTATTTAGACATAGTGGGGATGAACCACCCCTTCCCTGGGCATAGACAAGTCGTACTTCTGTAGCAGATGGCCTCTAAGATGTATCTACATCTGAAATAGTTGTTATAAAAATATCTATGTACAGTCTAGTAATGTGCTGTCCAGTAAGGCAGTCACTAGCCTCATGTGGCTATTTAAATTTATTAAAATTAATTAAATAAAAAATCCAGTGTCTCAGGCACACTAGAGCCACATTTCAAGTGCTCAGACGCCACATGGGGCTAGTGGCTACTGTGTGGGACAGTGCAGATACAGAACATTTCTATCACATCAAGTTCAGTACTGGACAGTCTGATCTAGAAGATAACACCTTCAAACTGCATTTTTGTAGAGGCACAGGTCAGCCTGCACTTAAAGGTGTAAAGCACCTCCCTGCCCACAGGCATATATATATATATAGTCACTAAATGGTCTTACTGACTTTAGCACTTCTTCCTACTTTTCCTTAATCTCTAGATCTTTGCACATACATCACACTCAACACAAACTCTGTTTTAGCCCTCCTCCCTCCTTTTCACTGATGAGGATATGATTCTTTAGGATAGATTTAGTTCCTATAATCCGTGAAAATGCCCAGCTAACTAGAGCTGTACTGGAAACCGGCCTTGTGTAAGTAACAAACAAGCTTGAATCTGAAGAGGGATGTATCTATTTGTGTTGCTGAGTCATTGAATTGACTGAAGGAAGGTCTGCGGGGCCGGGGGGCGGGGAGAAGAAGCTGCATACAATCGTTTCTATTAGAGATTTTGCTATTTTGGTGGTCGCATGTCAAAATAAGTCACTAGATGAATTGGTGGTGGAGCAATTTAGTGCCGGAAAAATGCCTTTCCCAGGCAAGATTCGAACTCCTAGTGTTTTTTCTTGAATCAGATTCTGTTTTGTTCTCTTGCCGAAAAGATAATTTTGCCGAATTTTAAAGCTTTAACTTTCTCTTTAATGAAGGCAAAAATAAATCTCTCCAGCCCAGGCCTTTTTAACTCCCCAAGATTATCACTAAAATGCCTTCGTGTTATATTTTTGTCTGGGAAACAGAACTTTTAAACATTCCTGCACCCACGGGATGACTCTGAATCCAGTCAGAGATCAGGAAGAGCATGAAAAAGCCTCGGAGCTTTTGGTTGAAGATGCCGGGGAGATGTAAACCCAAAGCGCGTGTTTTGTTGTTTTTTTGTTTTTAACCTCCCTCCCCAACCCCTCCCCCCAAACCTAGGACTACTCGTTTGTTCAGCAGTTCTGACGCCAACGATTTACAACGGTGAGGAGCTGGGGCTGGTGAGTAAAGGGGCTGGGCGTGGTCAGGACTCGGGTGTCTGACTCACTGCAGAGCCTTGAGGAAGTCCTTTATACCTCCCCTCACCTGCCAGGGCAGGTTGTGCTGAGAAAGTCCATTCGCATCTACTCATGTTACAGATGGGCAAACCTAAATTTAAAAAGACCCTCACAGTGACACAGCAAATAAGCCCTCCACGAATCCATGTGTTCAGCCTGGGCTTCGGACACCCTACAGCTCTACCTGGGAGGCACGGTTTGTGGATCTGGGGTTTTGAGAGTCCGATGGCACCTGCGATGTAGGATGGTGGGTTGGCGGTCTCAGGGCCGGCAGGAGATGACCTATCTGTAGCTACTTTTGAGTCTCGGACAAAATAGCCTCCCAGAGTTACTAGAAACTGCCTGTACCTGCCCAAGCAAAATTCATCCAGTAGTTGCCATGAGATGTATTTTCCCTTCACTCTTCGGTCCTAATTCCTGGGCTCTCTCGTGCTGGATACAAGGTGGGGGTGGGGTGAGAGGCGGTGATTAGTCACTTACTGCAGTCTTCACACCTTTTATATTTGTGTTGTTTCCTTGCCTTTAACCCTCTCGCAACCAGAAACTACCCAGTACACCACCCCTGCTCCCCCGCCCCAACCCCGAAGTGGTGACCAGAGGGGTCGTAGGATGTGAAACACAGGAGACTCCAGGGAACGCCCGACCCGAGGGGCATCCAGGACAGCGGGGGTGCGCGTCCCGCAGCTCCGCTCGGCGGCGGACGGCGCAGTGCGCAC